CCTGAAGCCACCTCTGTCAGACCCCCTGTACCCACCCCCGCCGCCACGATACCCTCCAGACCCCCTGAAGCCACCTCCACCACCCTGGTATCCTCCGCCTCCTCTATATCCCCCACCAGACCAGGATCCACCACCACCTCTGTATCCTCCTCCTCCACGACCCCTAAACTCTCCACCCCCTCCAAAGTCAGTACGAGGCATCTTGGGTGGACGTGGACCATCTCCAAAGCTGTAAATAACAAAGATAAAAGGGTGTTAAAATTACACAATTAACTAACATCTCATTTTCAAAATAGTTTAGTTATAAGCGACCTTTATCCTAAATAAACCAATTAAATGTATGGGTTCAATGATCTCACCGTGGGTTGGAGACCATGAGGTTGATGCCAGCTGACGAGGGTCTGGACACAAGCCGAATGACGTTCAGCAAGCGCTCATTGGTGGGATCCAAATTCCGGATGTATTCTGGGTCTTTGGTCACCTCCACCACCAGGGCTTCCATCGCTGCCCTCAGGGCCGCCACACCACCGGCTATATCATGGGGAATCTTCAATTTGATCCTACAGAAGGAAGGAATATTCTTGATGATCACTGGAACACTTCTCTTGTTGACTTCCTTGAAAATATTTGGTTTGCTCTCAGGATTCCTGACTCAAGAATTCTGGAGAACTTATTTTTTGTTGTTTATTGTTCAATACATACCAGTCATCAAGCTCAACAACTTCTCCACTGGAGGTGACCTTCTTTGTGCCGAACAGAATAAGCTGAAGAGGACTGACAAGAGTCATTCCTTTGGCAGAAATGGCTCGAGTTCGGATCTGTTATTACAAAAGACATAAATTATATTTGTATACTCCTAAAAGCTGACAAAAACGAACTTTTAGCAGATATACACTACCATTCAAAAGTATGGGGTTAGAAAGATTTTTTTTTCAATATATGGGGTGCTGTGTGTACATTAATGAGGAAAAAAAATTAACTTAAATGATTTTAGCAAATGGCTGCAATATAACAAAGAGTGAAAAATTTAAGGGGGTCTGAATACTTTCCGTACCCACTGTATATATACAAAGTCTCTCAATTTAATACGATGGCATTTGGACCCACCGGACTTCATCCCAGGCCTGGAAGACAGAGAGTAAGGCCACGTGATCTGAGAAACGTGAGCCTGCAAAGTTCCTATGAACAAAACCGAGGCGTTTGCCTTCGTTGATAAAGGGCTCGGGGAAACAGGTCGCTGCTGAGATAGTGCACACGGCATCTCCAACACTAAACAACACAAACACATACACAAGTATAAGTAAATTCAACAGGTAATTTTGGGAAAAATAGCAATGACCTGTATGTTCTTGACAGCTTTGTGAGATGCACTCAATTCAGAAACAGCCAATGTTGGATGAATAAACTTACTTAAAGATGCATCCCATGATCATCATCTTTCCCAGACGTGGTTCGATGGGCAGTTTGGCCAGAATGCGTCCCAGTGGAGTCAGCTCATCATTACAGTCTAGAGCATCCAGCTCTGGAGAGCAACAGAGGCTTGTTTGATTTTGTTCACTTCAACATCCTTAATATTAAGACATGTAACACAAAATCTGTACCTCTCAGTGTATGTTCAGCTTCAATAACGGCATCCAACGGAGGCGGCTCAATGGCTTTGGACAAGAAATTCCCGATGGCACCCAGTCTCAGTAGCTTAATGCTGAGGGCCACCTCATGCAATGGTGTGCGGAAGATTTCAGGAGTCATATGGGTCTCCAGTCTGCATAACAATCATTAACATTTCAGATAATGTGATTTTGTTTGAGGTTTTGGTACAACTGAAGAATGACATTTCGTACTTTTCAAAACGAGCTCTGCTGCAGAGGTAAAAGCAGAAGCCTGGTTTGACTCTGCCAGCTCGTCCCTTCCTCTGCTCAAGGTTGGTCTTGGAGGCCCACACTGTGGCGTAGTTTGTCATGTTGTTGTGAGAAGTGAACAACTTCACTTTCTGCCTGAATGACATATTTGGTATTTGTGGACAAAACAGAATATATAGAGAAGAGAAATGTACATCAAAGAGATAGTTTCTTCCACAATGACAACTAATTTACTGACCCTAATGTCATTCCAAACCTGTATGACTTTGTGTTTAGCGTTACACAAAAGATGATAATGTTGGTAGCCAAACAGCTGGTTACTATTAACTTCCATTGAATTGACAAAAAATTATAATGTTTTGTGTTTTACAAAAGAAAGTCATGCAGGTTTGGAATGACATGATTTTTTTTTCCAAAAATCTTTTTTTGTTTTATTGTGTTAGTTAGCTGTTTTTTTTGTTGTCATTTTTACTTGATCAAAATAACCCAACTGCAGTTTGATTGAGATTAATTGGAATGCACAATGAAAAAAAACATGATTTTTGAAAATTGTTAAAAACGGAGTTATCTGTTTTTGCAAATGAATTCTTTATATGTATATACATAAACACACACACACACACACACACACATATACATATATATACATACATACACATACATACATTGCTGAATTAATACTTTAAAATGGATAATTTCCAGATAATATTTTAACTTTAATCAATGACAGTATAAAAGTCATTTACATTATATCTTAAATATGTGAAACATTTATACCTTATATTTTTCTCAGATGGTATAGTACTTTTTTTGCACCTAATTTAATAAAACAAACAAAAAAACATACATCTTCCTCTCCACCATCTTCATCTTTATCTTTTTTCTTCCGGTCCATTGGTGGTGGTACGAACTGAGTCATCTGAATGCAGTCTTCTAAGAAATACTCTGCAGATATCAAAACATAAATAATAATCTGTCAGGTTTTACAGTCAAGACATTCCAAATTAATGGTCTAACATTGAGCAATGGGTTTCCAAACATCCATAGGAGTATTTCATCCAGTGTGTGAGATGATGTAAATATTAAATCATTAAAATATCATTACAAAACAGTGCATTGTAAAAACATGCTTCTCACCTTGTACAGGATGTGCACGTCCATGCACCTCGATGATAGGACAGTTAAAAAAGTACTCCCTAAACATGGTTGTGTCAATGGTGGCAGACATGAGGATGATGCGCACATCAGGGTAGGCCTGGACCACATCTCTCAACACTACCAACAGGAAATCAGACTGGACAGAAAAACATACTTGTGAATAGGGTGAGTCATTGCACCGCTCTAAACACATTTTTTGAGATGTTAACATACTGTATATGTACAGGTTGCACAACAGTGAAAACAATAATAGCACTCATTAATGTCTATTATTAAGGGAAAAGCGGTTATTTTTTCAGTTTTTGGAGCAATTTCGTTCTTCCGGTTCAAAAAGCAAAGTTGAGCCTACGTCACGAAAAGTGACGTATGTGTATTCATTTGGAGTGGTGATTGGCTGCCGTAGTTGGAGTACGCCTCTACGTCATCAGCTTTCTGAGGTTTTCTCAGTATTATTCATGAGAATTAACTCTTATGGTCCAATCACTGCACTGTATTATGAATGAGATCTTACAGCAGAAAATTAAAATCTCATAAAAGAGCTTTGCGCTGTCAGTTCATTTCTGTAAACATGACCGTAACAATATTTAATATGCAACAATATGTAGAGCACGCATGAGAGAGCGGTTTCTGCACGGAATGCCGAGATGAGTTTAACACTCGCTGCGCGAATCATTCATATCCAGACCGGAGCAATCGTGTTTCAAGTTTATGTGAACATATTTCATATTCTCTCGTGCTCCGAATATATGTATGCACACATATCATGCCTTCTTCAAATAAAGGATGCACAAATAAGGGCACGGATACAGCGGTTCATCTGATCATGAACGCGATGACACGACGGATTATTGTGGTACACAGCAAACAAAGATATTGATCGAAAATTCAAAGAAGAGTGAACAAAAAGTAACTATGTCTTTATCCTTTCTGTTTTAAACTGATGCGTGTCATTTGTACTGAGACTGTAGTGCTGGTCAACGTGAAAATATTATAAAATTTTAAATGTTCTTCTTCATTTTTCATATCCAATATCTCTGCTTATTTATTTCAAATAATAATTTATCAAAACATATTGGATTTGTTCATGATAGTTGTTAGTCTCTAATGACAGGATTTCTTAACAGTTATTTATCATTATTTTTATATTTTTAAAATATATCAAGGTGGCCCCTATCTCTGTTGTTGTTTGTATTTTCTTTCTTTCTCTGCTCATATTTTAATATTCATTTGTCTCTATAATGAGTGTGTTGTAGGTCTGTGTTTTATTGGTTGTTTTATAGGGCTGCCCTCGACTAAAGATTTTTCTGGTCGACTAGTAGTTGTTCATTTTAAGCATTAGTCGACTAATCGCACGTTTATTAATAAACCATTTAAATCATTATAATGAGCCTTTAATTACCTACATTGCCTAATAAGCGCTCAAGCACACACAAAGCTTGGAGTGCACACAAATAAACGTAGAGTCTTTACAGATTTGAAATGTGTATTACTCTTATCTGTATGACCAAAAATGGGGGAGTATTTTAAGAGCAAGTGGCCGCACTGGCGCCTCTATCTCATGCTGTGAACGCTACAGCTTCCACACTCTGCAGACACTTGAATAGCGCACATTTCTCTGGGTTAACATTAGATTAAGTGGCCATGTGAAGTTACTAATACTTACATCTTTCAGATGATAAGCCATATTTGAGGTCGATGAATGATAGGCGAGCGTTTGGATGTCCTGCCCGATGTACTGTA